CGTGAAGATCTATAGGGTCAATCGTATATTGAAACTTTATAAGTGGGGAATGATATCATGTTACTTTGACCAAGAAAGAAAAAAAAGGTATCTTACTTATGTAAATTCACTACAAAAAAAAACGGAGTTTAGCTTTTAATTTGGTTTCGCGTCGGTACTAAAGCGACTCTAACAACTTAACGTCAGTTTGAAAACCGACTTATTTATCCAATGACGCAAGGTGTTTATGCATTACTTAAAACACTGGCGTAAAGTTTAACGTCAATTGCTTAGCATCATTTTTAAAACTGACGTAATAATTTAACGTCACTTTTGAATCTAACGTCAATAACCCAATTTTTATTAATACTAGGTATTTCACCCACACTACGCGTGGGTCTATATTTTAAATCGATTTAATATATATTCTTAAAGAATAATTTTTTAAAACTGCAAAAATTAACATTTAAAATTTATCAATCTTTCAATACCAAAATTCCTGTTTTTAGATATATCAATATCCTACTGAGGTCAAATTTTGACATACAAAAATGTTGTTTAGATCAAATCCCAGTAACAAAAATGTTTTCGTCTGTCTAGTAACCAAAAATTACTTGAATTTATTTAAATCATTATAATACGATCAACTTTATTAGTAATATATATGTGTGTGTTTTGTAAAATGTAATGTTATTTTATGACCTATTGTGAGGTGTTAGTCATTTCTAGAAAGAATGTTTAAAATATATATATATATTTATATAAATTAGATGTCAACATTATTTGTATGTAACACGATATTTATTTAAAATAACTTTAATTTGTTATGTTAGAACTTAAAATGCTATAAACAACATATGATTTATTTTCCAGTACATTTAACTTATACATCGTATTTTAGTTTATAATAATAGTATATATTTATATTTTATATAATATAAATTATTTATGCTCTCTTAAAGAAAATCTTAAACCATTGTTCTTTCAATGTTGATATTTTTTTATTAATAATTTTATCATGTTGTTATGCGTTATGGTATACATTTATTTTTAGAAGTAGTTTTATACTCTCTCTGTTTCACAAAGAGTGTCACTTTGTGTTTCCAAAGCAATTTTATTAACTAAATTCCATTTTTAACCTTGTATTAATTCGAAAGAGAATATAGTATTAGTATAACTAAAAGGGGTAAAATAGAGTTTTGAATGGTTTTCTTAATATGTGTGTAAAAGAGTAGAATGACAGTTATTATTAAATAGAGGGAGTATTAATGTTTACTTGAATATTTATGCCTTAAATCTGTTTAGAAATACATTCTTGTTCGAAATTTTTGTTAGTTACATATTTGTTTAGAAATTACAAAATTCAGTTAATATTTATTAATTGCAAAAATTGTTATTACCTCACCTCCTAATTAGTGCACGTCAAGTAATCATATTCGGCAAGTTTATACTACACCAAAAATGGAATATTTCCTTTTAAATTTGATGGCAAAAGCTTTGTCTTGATCAATCATGCTCTGGCTGCTCATGGAATGAATGCACCTCCTGTAATAATTGTGATCATCAAAGAGACAGTCTTTATATCTTCATTCATATGTCCTTCTACAGTATGAGTCTAGGATCCATACCTGCTTCTCAATAAACTAATGACAAACTCACACATTTCTCGAGAACTCTGTAAAGATGTAGGAAAACTGATTGTTCTACCCCTAATATGTTTATTGTCTATAACTCTTCATCCTTATATATTTTGGCATTTTTGGAAGTCTCGTGATTTTCTCTTATTTGAATATTGTTGTTTACATGAAGATGAAATCTTCTTAAAGGATGTGAAGGATGCTCATGGATGAAATGATATCCGAAACTCATCTAAGACATCAACCTCTTCTCTCCCTCTCCGTCTGACCTCCATTATCCTCCCAAATACGAACTCTTATTTTGTTGATGTAGGGTGGAATGCTTTCTCGAAAAGCGGTAGTATGGGTTGGACAATTAAATCTCATTTGAATTCTTCTGCTCCATAGTAATCCAAACAAACTATTTACTTTTTTGGCCATTTTTTTAAGTTACAATGAAAAAAATGTTATCTAGTATGCTATTGTTTTCTTGAATTTTTGTTTTAGCTCCCAAAGCTTATCTCTCTCATCACCTAAAAAAACTGCAAATGAACTCATATATCTTTTACACGACATTATGCATTTTTGTTTCTCTCTCCTTTTTATTCATAGATTATGTAATGTTGATGAGACTGACTCTCTTGCAACGTTGGCTTTATTTATTTAGAACAATTATTCAGTTATCATGGTGTAACCTACTCTTTATTAACCAAGTCGCTTTGGCCCAGTGGTAATGGACTCACGACTGTGAGTACCGCCACCCGGGTTCGGGGCGCCTTGGCCATCTAGCCGCGCCAGGTTGGATTAGTCATTGGGTTAAGAAAGCCTTTTTGGAAACCAACTTAAAAAAAAAAAAAAAAAAAAAAAAAAAAAAAAAAAAAAAAAAACTACTCTTTTTTGGTAAAAACATAGGTTTGATCAAAGAGAATTCACCTTACGGTTTATATAATTCTTTATAACTAATATTGCAGTTATACAAATATTTCTTATATAATTTTTAAAATTTTACTAAATTATATTTTTTAACAATTGTTTTAAAAAAATCTTCATTTAATTACTTTGGACTTGTGAAGTTTCTAATTTAAACCGGTTATAATAATTAATTTTTCTTCATAAAAGAAATTAACTAATTTTGAAAATATAGCTAATTTTAGATGGTGATATAGATTAATACTATTGGTTTTTTAAATTTAAAGAAAAAAGTAGATGATGATAAAGATTAATTCTTTTAGTAAATTATATTTTATAACAAAAAATTTAAAAAATCTTAATCTAATTAATTTGGACTCATGGAGTTTCTAATTTAAACCGGTTATATTAATTAGTTTTCTTGAAACATAAAAAGAAATTAAGTAAGTTTAAAAATCTTATATATAATAGGAGAATTGCTCTCTCCTCCTAGGCTATCCACATCAGCAAAAAAATCATTTAAGATATTTCATATATGTGTATTAATATTTCTTTATATATATTCCTATTTTACACATAAACGAAACTAAGAAAAATATACAAACAATTTAATTGATTAATATAAAGTATGTGATATCTTGATGTTAAAAGTTAAAAGAAATTTGTAATTAAAATGTAGATGAAATAAAAAATATTTAACTTGAAATAGTATATAGTTAGGTTTTAACTCAAACCATTTATCCTATTGCAAAATGTTATAATGTGCTTACAAGTAAAAAATGTTGAGTATAAATTATTTAACATAGTATAAAGCTAATAAAAAATTAGAGTTCGATTTTTTTTATTAAAAACTAACAGTCGAGTTATTATTTAAATTTCATTGCAACGAAAATGATGAAAATTTTAATAATGGTGACATGTTTGTTTCAAAAATATAATTTATATTTACAAAACTAACATAATAGAAAATAATCAATTGTCATATGCTACCACAACAAAGCATATATGTAAGAAGTTATACATGTTTTTGTTTTTCATCATATTTTGAGTGCAATTGCGATTCTACACCATGTTTACAAATTTTAACGTTGAGTCAAATGCATATTAAATTTTAGAAATAGAAAACTCGAGATGAAGTAAGGTGTTAATATCTTAATAAAAAAATTGATCATATTGTTAGTGTTAATTGTTGGGTTAACTCAAAATATAACCAAAACATGGAAGTTAACATATAACCATCATAATTCAAAATTTCAAATCAATGAATATAAATAAAATCAAACAGAAAAATTATCGCAAACAACCTCGCGCTTGCGCGGGGCTTTAATCCCTAGCATACTAATTATAGATGATGATATAGATTAATACTATTGATTGTTTAAAATTATGTAAATACATTATGTATGTAAATGCTTATGTGGACCAATAACATACAGTTTTATAATCATGTGGACATCTTTAGAGGCATTTAGCCTCAAATTTTATATTAATTTCTTAATTTTATATGATGATGTGGAAAACTTCTTAATTTTAGCCTCAAATTTTATGTGGAAAACTTCTTAATTTTATATGATTATGTGGAATGATACTACTAGTCGTTTAAAATTTGGAAATTTTCTAAAGTATGTAAATGCTTATGTGGACCAGTAAATTCACATTTTTAAATCCTATGTGGACGCTCTCAGAGACTTATAGCCTCAGTTTTTATGTAGTATAGATTTGTTATAACTGTAATTTAAAACATTAGATGATAATTGGTAAACATTAAACCGGATAAAATCGGGTAGTGTGCGGTGAGATATGAAACTTTTAATTCGGAGAGATTTAGATTTAAAACTTTGTTTCTATGAAGATATAAGATTCAAAATTTGTTTTCATGGAGATTTAGAACGAGATGATAGTTCGGGCCGTATTTAGTACGACCACTACAAGAAAACATTACGCTTTCCTACGGAGCATATGGTAATAAATTGGTAGGAAAGTCTGTTTCCTACCATTTTCCTACGAAAATAGGTCGTAGGGTTTCTTCCGTAGAAAAACTAAAATTGGTAGGAAAACCGTAAAAAGTCACCCAAATTCCTACGAAATACTCCGTCAAAAATTTCGTCAAAATTTTGGTATGAAAGTGGTAAATAATTTATAGGAAATTTCTAACCAATATCCGACCGAATTTGTCCGTAGAAAAGAGTTTTCCTTCCATATTCCTACGAATGTAATAACAAAAAACAAAAAAAAAACTATTTCTAAAATAAAAATTATTTCGAAATTTAAATGTATAATTGAAAACACAATAAATATTAAAATTTATGATTATTTATAATTTAAATCAAAATGTTTTAACAATACAAAATACAAATCCAAATCCAAAAAGTCTAAAATAAATGATAAACTAGAAATTACATCCGATAGATCTAAACTTTTGAATCATCATCTTTTCTGGGTTAGATCTTCTACTCCGTTGTACTGGTTGGCCAAGTAGGGTGGGTCCAATTGCTGCTATTCCCTTTGGAGCTCTCCAGATTCCCTTTGGAGCTCTCCAGATTCAAATCTGAAAACAATCAGAAGTAGTTCAAATTAAAATTATTTTTTTTGCAGAAAGTCATAATAGATGATAAGATTTTATAAGAAACTTTTTACCTTTCAAGCTCAGCCACTTCAAATATCTTCTTCACAATCATCTCCATCATAAATCTCTTGCAATCTTCATACGAATCCTCCAATATCTTCACCACCTCAACTCCTTCCTCCACAATCGCTGATGTGGCCGTTCGCGGCATCAATCTATGCATGACGACAATCTCGCCGGAGATAGTGGCGGTGACAACAGCTCGCTTTCCTCCACATCAATCGACGACGAGCTTTTCTCTTAGTAGTCTCTGTCCTCTTGACACATGTGGCCATTGTGAATATGAATTTTCCGGGGAAAGGTTTGTAGAAGAAAGGGGGCTAGGGTTTGAGACATTGTCTCGTGCCTTAAAGGAAATATAGAAGATTAAAATTGGGCCTCGTTCTATCTGTAAGCATGTCCAACTTTAATTGATTGGGTTTATTGTTAACTAGATTAAGACCCGCGTATACGCGGTTTATTTTAAGATTTTGTAATAAAATCATGGAAAAGTATTAAACCAAATTTGATCATTTTAAAGTAAACAGAATAATATTAAAAACCCGATAAAAATATTTAAATAAAATAAGATCGGTAACCTTTTTACGTTTTTATTGTAATTGATATTTTTTTGAATTCATGATATGAAAAATGAATTAATTTGTTTTATTTTTATTTTTATCCAATATAGAAAGACTTATATATGTCTAAATATGATCAACTGATTAATTAATTCAACAAAACTTTATTATTCCATTCAAGAGATTTCAATTGATGAAATCTTTATTTAATAATTTTTTACCTAACAATATTGAAAATTAAACTATTTAAAATTAGAATATCGGTTCATTATATTTTCTTAATATTAGTTAGTTGCTTGATAATTAATTTGTTAGTTTTCTATTTATATTGTTTCTTTCTCAATTTTGTTTTTGACTCAGACCATTATAAATTTTCATTTTCATTATTAGTTAGTTTTTTTTTTAATTATTTGATGAGTTTGTGAATGAGAAAAAAAACACTATTTAACTCTCTTTTTATAGGGGTTAATGTAACTTATTCCATGCAGTAATAGGAAATTTAGTTTACATAACCTATTTCATGTACTAATAGGATTTTATTTATTTCATTATTTTGAATCTTATATGTGTTTGGATAATATAAATTTGATGAATGGGAAACCCTTTTCTATTAGGATATGACAAATATATTTTTTTCTTTCTTTTAACTAAAAAAAATTAAAATTTTGTTTTTTTCCCTTTATCTATGTTTTTTTTAATTATAATTTTTTTTCCTTTTTTTCTAAGACACATGTCACGATCTTAACGGATATAACATTAAAAGTGACACATGTCGCAATCCTAAATTTTGTAAAAATCCTACGTGTCGCAACCATGTCGCGCGCATCCAGCTTTATATAATAAGATATTTAAATATATAATTCGTAGGAAAGTAGTAAATAAATAACCCTACCAAATTCTTACCACATAAGTTTATATTTTTGGTAACTAAGAGGGGACAAACGTCCTTAATATATTATTCAAACACAACTCAAATGCTTACAAATCTGACTCGTGAAGAGCCGTTAACATCCTCCAACAACAACACTGAAACTTCAGTGGGTGCTGCAGTTAATAAATGAAAACCAAAAGATAGAGATAGAGAGAAAGCATAGTTCTCAAGCCCGTCGGCCACCCGATTCGCCTCTCTGTATGTATGCATAATCTGGACTATCCAGTCCCTTGAAAGAAAATCATAGCACAAGCGTGCTAGGAAGGATACGGGGTGAGAGTCAATGATCCCTGAATGAAGAATCTTTACCACAATCTCGGAGTCTACCTCTAATATAAGTCTCGGAACGCGCCGCTCCCAAACCAAGTACAATCCATAATGTACTCCCCATAACTCTGCTAACGGTGCCGAGCAGATGCCTATATTGAGCGTAAACCACATATCCAAGCGCCATTCGCATCACGCAACACTCCTCTGGCTGCAGACAAACCCGGGTTCCCACGTGATGCCCCATCTGTGTTTATCTTACACCAATCCTGCTTTGGAGGCTCCCATCCTATCTGTCGCTCGACTCTATGGATTCTCCCTCCACTGTTACCCGGAACATGGGCTTTCGCGATCCCTCTAGCCATATCTTTGATGAACTTTACGCGATCTCGGCACTTTCCATACGATCCGAACACATTTCCGCATCTCCATTTCCATCCCCACCAAACTGCCACCGCGAATAAAGTTGACCAATTATAATCTCCCAACTCAAGTTTGGCTCCCAGATTATTGTATAGCCAGCTCAATAGTGGTGCACCGAAAAACTCTTGCCTCCTCCTTACGGGAACAATCCATTGCCATAAACCCTTCATTGCCAGGCAATCTCTCAAGATGTGAATTATTGCTTCCTCTCCTCCTTTGCAAACCTGACACAGACCAGTGTCGCTCAGATGGCGTTTGTGGCGCTCCCCATTTATCATAATAGCTTGATTCATCACCAACTACAAGAACACCCTGATTCTCTCCGGTACCACCGCATGCCAGGCCCGTGTAAACAAACCATTCATATTCTGTTTCAGTTTAGTATCCTGAGTGAGAAAAGCGTAGGTGGACTTAACTGAAAATTCCCCGTCCTGCGTGTGTCCCCAAGACACTCTGTCTCTGGCCTCTGATATCTCGTCAACTACAACCGCCGCTAGGCGTAGCTTTGTGTCCATTGTGACGTATGGCTCAATGTGATGATACCTCCAACCCACTCCACTCTTCCATAAGTCACATATACGTGCTTCCGCAATCTCTTCTGGTATCTCTGTCGTAGCCTTATGAGCCATTTATCTTTCCAGAAACTGGTTGTGTGTCCATTACCAATCACCCAACTTATCCTCGGAATTACTACCTCCCTCAATCCTTTCAACACACTACGCCATGTAGATGACCAAGCTGCGTCCTTAATCTCCTTTACTTTGTAGGTTTTCCTCAGCACTCTTGCCCACAAAGAAATCTCCTTTGTAGGTTTAATCTAGACGCCAGCTCAGCTTTGCAATAAGGGTTGTGTTCATCTCCTGTGTCCTTCGAATCCCCAAACCCCTTCTGATTTAGGAACGCAGACCCTCTCCCAAAATATCAGGTGTTGTTTCCTCTTTTCAGCCCTATCTCCCCATATAAATGATCTCAAGACTTTGTCCAAACGATTCAACATCGACTGTGGGAGTATAGCCCTACTCATCGTGTGCACCGGTATTGATGAGATAACTGCTTTGGCGAGTGTGATACGTCCAGCAAAACTCAGTAACTGTCCTTTCCATCCTGCCAATCTCGACGAGACCTTTTCCAAAACTTCACTAAATATATCCTTGTTGATTCGTTTCTGAAGAACTGGCATCCCCAAATACTTGCCTAACTCACGTGTCGAGCTAATGCCACTTACATCACTGATCGTCTTCCCAAGATCTCTACTCACATGTTTTAGAAAAGATTTTTTTTTGACTTTTCTAAACTTACTTTCTGCCCTGACGCTATACAGAATCGCTCTAGCACTCCTCTGATCATACATACTTGAGCGACGGATGCTTCAGCGAAGAGGATTAGATCATCGGCGAAACATACGTGTGATAGGTCTGGTCCTCTACTATTTTTATCATCAAATAGATTTGACTAACTGTTTTATCTAAAAAACAAAAAAGATTTCAATAATTTATTCCGTATATACTTTATAAATAAATAACTATTAGGTGGTTGGCCCGCACCTTTTGCGGGCATAACATTTTTAAATAATAAATTTAATCAAATTTTTAATTGCATAAGTAATATAATTTAAGATGATTGACTTTTAAACTTATATAGATATACAAAATTAATTTGATAAAAATCATTTAAGTTTCATTACGTTTTGGATGAGTTATTTATATACTATATCAGTCAATTTCATATATTTTTATTTTTTGAATATTTTATTATGTTTTTATTTTATTTTAGTGCACAAAACCATATCAATTATTTTAAATTTATTATTTTTTTTCTTTAACGCTTTAAGTTCTATTATTGATAATTTTATCTTTCGATTTTTCTAATTTTTTTTATTGTTATATTCTTCTATTTTTTTTTATTTTTTATTTCATTTGTTTTTTTGTCATAAAAATAAATTATTAGATGAGGAAAGAGGAAAAAAGAAACCCCAACTCATTCTTTCAGAGGTTTAGAAAAGATTCTACATTGCGACGCATGAACTATTTTGAAAAAATAAAACTAAAAATTTGTATCATTTGAAAAACTATCAAATTATACTCATTAAATATTCATACCAAACCAAATGTATTAGATAACTACTTTATAGTTTATATAGTATTTTATTCAATTTCATTAATTCTTGTCTTTCAAATCTTTCATGAGTTTTATCCTACTCCAAAACATTATTCGTTATTATACAACTTTCATGTATGCAAAAATCAACTAAACTCCGACGATCTCATTTTTTCTTTATTGTCTATGTAAATTCTTCTTTTTCCGTTTCTTCCGATTTTTCTTCGTCTTTTTCTTTTCTTTCTATTTTTCTTCTTCCTTGTATTCTCATTCTTCTTCAATTAATTGATCGTCTTCGTATCACTTGACTCTCTTTGATTGTTCGTTTTCCCGAATTATTTCCTCTTTCATTACTAACTTTTCTTTTCTAACTTTTTATTCTTCTCGTTTTTATTTCCTATTTTTCCAACTTTGACTTCTTATTCTTTATGTTCTGTTATCTTTTTTCCTCCTTCCTCTTCATCATTTTTGTCTGATCTGTCATTTTTTTATTTTCTAGTGGTTTTATTCACCTTCTCGGCTTCTTCTTCGTCTTTTCTGTATGCGGCTAATTATTCCTCTTCTTTTTCTCCAACGATCTTAACTTCGTTTTTTTCCCTCTTTTTATCGTCTTTTTTTTATTCATCTTTTTCTTTTCTCTTTCTTTTTTTTTCATCTTCTCATTATTGTTGGTGTTCTTGTTTCATCCTTTTCATCTTTCCTGATGTCTTCTACTTCCTTATTTTTTCTGTTTTCTTTATTTATTTTTTTCGATACTTCTTCGTCCTCAAGTGTTTCTTTACTTCTTATCACATTCGTCTTCTTCAGCTTCTTATTGATCCGCTTTTTGTTTCTAGGTAAATTGACTAAATTGAAGGATAAATAGCAACTGGCTGCTATATATTTTATAGCAAAATTCCTGTATCAAATTCTTAAACCACTGTCGATTAAGAATTTTTTTTGACAACTCTTTTCATTTTGAACTAAATATTTCTGACTTAATTTGTTATAATTGTTGTTGTTTTACAAAAATTCACTTGAAATTTTAAGAATAAACAGTGCTATTATTTTATCGATATGATTTGAGCAAAAGATTAAACAATATAGTTTTTTTTATTTCCCTTTTCATTAGAATTTTCAAAGACTAAAGTTTTCTTTTTTTATTAAATATTTTTAAAAACTAAGGATTAAAAAAACACACACTAAACTAAACCCTACACCAATCAATGTAAACCCTACTTTCTAAACCCTAACCCACCAATATAAACCCTACCTTCGTATCACTTGATTCTCTTTGATTGTTTGTTTTCCCGAATTCTTTCCTCTTTTATTAGTAACTTTTCTTTTCTAACTTTTTATTCTTCTCGTTTTTATTTCCTATTTTTCCAACTTTGACTTCTTATTCTTTATGTTCGTGTTATCTTTTGTTCTCCTTCCTCTTCATCGTCTTTGTCTGATCTGTCATTTTTGCAACTGCTATAATCAGAACTCAGAAGTGTAATGATTTTTTTCCCCTTTGTTTTAGCATTTTTATTATAAAACCTATATCTTTTCGGTTTTTCCTCAATGGAATAAAAGTTTTTTTTGGCAAAAGAGTCATTTTTTTCTTTTCTAGTGGTTTTTATTCACCTTCTCGGCTTCTTCTTCGTCTTTTCTATATGCGGCTAATTATTCCTCTTCTTCTTCTCCAACGATCTTAACTTCTTTCTCTTTTTTATCGTCTTTTTCTGATTCATCTTTTTCTTTTCTGTTTCTCTTTTTTCATCTTCTCATTTTTGTTGGTGTTCTTGTTTCATCCTTCTTATCTTCTTTGATGTCTTCTACTTCCTTATTTTTTCTGATTTTTCTTTATTTATGTTTTTCGATACTTATTCGTCCTCAAGTATTTCTTTACTTCTTATCACATTCGTCTTCTTCAGCTTCTTATTGATCCGCTTTTTGTTTCTATGTAAATTGACTAAATTAATGGATAAATAGCAACTGGCTCCTATATATTTTATAGAAAAATTCCTGTATCAAATTCTTAAACCACTGTCGATTAAGAAATTTTTTGACAACTCACTTGAAATTGTTGTTCTACAAAAATTCACTTGAAATTTTAAGAATAAGCAGCGCTATTATGTTATCAATATGATTTGAGAAAAAGATTAAACAATATAGTTGTTTTTCTATTTCCCTTTTCATTAGAATTTTCAAAGACTAAAGTTTTCTTTTTTTTATTAATAATTTCAAAAACTAAGGATTTAAAAAACACACAGAAAACTAAACCAAACACCCACCAATATAAACCCTACCTTCTAAACCCTAACCCACCAATATAAACTCTACCTTCGTATCACTTGACTCTCTTTGATTGTTCGTTTTCCCGTATTCTTTCCTTTTTCATATGTAACTTTTCTTTTCTAACTTTTTAGTCTTCTCGCTTTTATTTTCTATTTTTCCAACTTTGACTTCTTATTCTTTATATTCATGTTATCTTTTTTTCTCCTTCCTCTTCATCGTCTTTGTCTGATCTGTCATTTTTTTTTTCTAGTGGTTTTTATTCACCTTGTCGGCTTCTTCTTCGTCTTTTCTGTATGCAGCTAATTATTCTTCTTCTTCTTCTCGAACGATCTTAACTTCTTTTTCTTCTCTTTGTATCGTCTTTTTCTGATTCATCTTTTTCTTTTTTGTATCTCTTTTTCATCTTCTAATTCTTTTGGTGTTCTTGTTTCATCCTTTTCATCTTCTCTGATGTCTTGTACTTCCTTATTTTTTTTCTGATTATTCTTTATTTAGTTTTTTTTTTTTATATTTCTTTGTCCTCAAGTATTTCTTTACTTCTTATCACATTCGTCTTCTTCAGCTTCTTATTGATCCGCTTTTTGTTTCTAGGTAAATTGACTAAATTGAAGGATAAATAGCAACTGGCTGCTATATATTTTTTAGCAAAATTCCTATATCAAATTTTTAAACCACTGTCTATTAAGAATTTTTTTGACAACTCTTTTCATTTTGAACTAAATATTTCTGGTTTAATTTGTTATAATTGTTAAAAATTCACTTGACATTTTAAGAATAAGCAATGCTATTATTTTATCGATATGATTTAAGCAAAAGATTAAACAATATAGTTGTTTTTCTATTTCCCTTTTCATTAGAATTTTCAAAGACTAAAGTTTTCTTTTTTTATTAAAATTTTCAAAAACTAAGGATTTAAAAAACACACACAAAACTAAACCATACACCCACCAATATAAACCCTACCTTCTAAACCCTAACTCTCCTATTTAAACCCTACCTTCATATCACTTGACTCTCTTTGATTGTTCGTTTTCCCGAATTCTTTCCTCTTTAATTAGTAACTTTTCTTTTCTAACTTTTTATTCTTCTCGTTTTTATTTTCTATTTTTCCAACTTTGACTTCTTATTCTTTATGTTCATGTTATTTTTTTGTCTCATTCCTCTTCATCGTCTTTGTCTGATCTACTTTTTTTTTTTCTAGTGGTTTTTATTCACCCTACACTCTAAACCCAAACCCTACATTATAACCCCCCTTCTCCTAAACAGTCCTACACCCTAAACCCAAACCCACATTACAACCCCCCCTCTACCTCCTTCCTAAACGGCACACCTGAACCCCACATAAGAAATGTGTTTTGGATTTGCTTTATTTTATTATTTTTTAAAAGAAGGTTTTTTTTGTAATGATTGTTTTCTTCTCTCTTCTATTCTTCTCTAGTAATCCCATCTTCTTCTTTTTATTCCATTTTTTTATTCATTGTAATAATCTTTTTTTTATTTCGTCTTCTTCTTCCAATTTGTTTTCTTCAATCTTTTCTTGTGTTTTAATTATCATCTTCATCTTTTCTGACTTCATCCTATTCTACATTTTTTTTATCTCTTTTTTGTCTTTAGTCCATTTTTCCTTCTTTAATTTTTTTTTCTCATGTTCGATTTTTCTTCTTGTTCCTGAAGTTTCCCTTCTTCTTTTCCACCGTCTTCTTTTCTTGTACTCGTGTTTTTCATTTTTGTCTACGTCTTGTCTTTCATTTATCAGTTCAGATCTTTAAAAAAAAAAATTTGCTTTGTTATCTTTTGATTCTGGATTTGCTGTAATTTTTTCGTTTTTTTCATATTTGTGAATGTATTTTAAAATGGTAAATATAAAATTATAATGAACAATTTTTAATTTTGATGTACTTCCATAACAATTCAAGTATTTAAAAATGCACCAAAAACTAAACCCTACACCATCAATATAAACCCTAACCCTAAACCCAAACCCCACATTAT